GGATCTCCCTCTTGCTCAGGCTGCTTTCGAACTCCTGACCTCTAGCAATCTGCTGGCCTCTGCCTCCCAGAGTGCTAGGATTACAGGTGTGAGCCACCGCCTGGCCTCCCTCAGGAATATTTTATTGTTTTCAGTATACATATATTTCATATTTGCTGTCAAATTTATCACTATTTCATGTTGTAATTTTTATACTAAATAACATTTTATAAAATTTCTATTTATGATTGGTACTAGTATATAAAAATACAGTTGAGTTTTGTATATTGATCTTGCATCCTGCAGCCTTTCTGAACTCAAATCATTAGTTCTAGTGGCTTTTGGCAGATTCCATCTCATTTTATGCATAGATGATCATGTTATTTGAGAATAAAGACAGTATAGGTGCTATCTTTCCAATTTGGATGATTTTTTCTTCCTTTCTTCATTCTTTCCTTCCCTTCCTTTTTCTTTTTTTTTTTTTTTATTTCTCCTGATTGCACTAGCTAGAATTTCCACTACAACATTGAATAGCAAAAGCCATAACTATCTTGTTTACAGGCTTAAGGGAACCTAGGGGAAAAACATTCAGTATTTCCCCCTTAAGTAAAATGTAGGTTTTTTTATAGATGCCCTTTATCAGGGTGAGGAAGTTCTCCTCTATTCCTAGTTTTCTGAGAATTTTTATCAGGAATGATTGTTGGATTTTGTCAAATACTTTTTCTCCATCTATTGAAACCATCATATGGTTTTTCTTTTTTAGTTTGTTAATATGGTATATTACATTGATTGATTTTTCTAATGTTTAACCAGCTCTGCATTTTTTGGATAAACTAAGAACACTTGCACATAATGTATTCGTTAATATATTATTGAATTTAATTTTCAAAAATTTTTGCATTTACAGTCATGAATAATATTGGCCAGTATTTTTCTTTGTTTATATCTGTCTGGTTTTAGTATCAAGATGATACTCATCCCATAGAACAAGTTAGGATGGAAGTTGGCAAACATTTTCTTTAAGGGACCATATAGTAAACATTTTAGTCTGTATAGACCATAAGGTCTTGTTAGAACTGCTCAACTTTGCTGTTATAGTGAAAAAGTAATCATAGATAAGTGAAAAATAGATAGATATAGTGAAAAAGTAATCATAGATACATATAAGTTGGTGTGGCTGTGTTCCAATAATACTTTATTTTCAAAATCAGGTGGTGGACCATATTTGGTTTAAAGGCCATGGTTTGCTGACCTCTGAGTTAGGAAGTATTTATTCCTGATTCTAAAACTTTTATGAAAATTTAAAGACAATTATAAAGAAGACAAATACAATTGGAGGATTTACACTGTGAGATATCAATCCCTATCTTAAGCTATGATAATAAGGATAATTGCAATTGAGCAAGAAAAATGTGTATAGTCACCTGATCCATGACAAAGGTAACACTGCAGTGCAATCAATGTAGAGTTGTCTTTGTAATAAATTGTGCTGAGTCAATGGCATGTCCATATGGAAATATCCATATAGAAAAGACTTACAAATCATTAGGTAAAGAATAAGCAACCCATTAAACGTGGGCAAAGACATGAACACTCTATTCCACTAAATGATATTCAGTGTACAGGAAGCATATGAAACACATTACTCATCAGGAAGCTCAAAATTGAAACAACTATGAAATATCACACTAGACATCCTCCCAGAAGGACAAAGATTTTAAAGCTTGACAAAATAAAGGCAAATATATGAAGCAATTAAAATTGTCTTATACTGCTCATAGGAATTTGAATTGGTTTATCCATTTTGGAAAAATATTTGTCAGGAAATATTTGTTTGGAAAAATATTTGTTTTGTTTACAAAACCTAAATATATGGTTACCTTAAAACTGTCAATTGCAGTCCTAGTTATATGCTCAAATGAATACATATGTTCAACAAAAGACATACACAAAAATATTCGTAGAGCTTTTATTTGTAATAGCAAAAAAAAAAATAACTTAAAAGCAACTGAAAAGTAAACATGGGCATCAAATTTTAAATTGTTAATATTTCCTGAAATTGTCTTCTAAGACAACTTGCTTCTTTTAATTCTTAAAATTCAGATTAACAATTTAGCCCTAATAAGATGTCATTATTTATGACATATCATATCATGGCCATCATGAGTCAATCAAATATTTTACCATGTACTTATTACTTTTAATCACAATAAAACAAAGACATTTTAGAATCCAAATCTACAAACTTTAAAGTATTGACTTTGTAACATAATTTAAAAATAAAATGAAATATAACTTTCAATATAACTATAACTCCAATATAACTTTTTACATAAAATGGACTTTTTTAAGTATAAAAATAGAACATTGCTGGAAAGCCTAAACACAATGTGGAATGTATTGACTTGCTCTAATATCAGTCTTATTTATTGTTATAAAACAAAAAATATACCATTATAGTTACTCTTAACTATCCAAGTGTTTTTATGTCAGCTGTGGCACCTACCAGATGAAGCAAATGAGGCTTTTATCAAGGGTGACAATTTCGTGGAAATAAATGAGTATCAGAGAAGACTACACAATGCAAAAACAAACTTCAGTAAGGAATTGAACTCAAGACCTTTTGCTTATCAGACAAGAAGGATGAATGACAAAGCAACAAGTCCCTATCTTAAAATTAATTTATTTGATGTGCCTAATGAAGACATTTAAAAACATGCCAGAATTTCAGATTTTGATTTGTCTTGGGCAGAAAACATATTAAGTAAGACAAACCTCTTTGGTACAAGGCATTGTCAAGGCCTTGTTACAGCAGAACTAACAGAGAACAAAGCGAGCTGCACAAGAAAGGTGGAGAGAATCAGGTTTTATTACGCCAGCGCCAGCGGGCTCAGAGGACACTTGCCACCAAAGTCTGAGTGCCTGATTACGGGTTTCTTTCTCTTTCATCTTCTTATAGCAGGAAGTTGCTGCAAGCAGTTTACAGAAGGGAGAGCAGCAGTGATTTGACATCTATAAAAAGTTGTTCTAAAGAGAAAGAACCAGCTCTTTCCAGTACAAGTCAACAAATTCTGAAGTGTATATGCTTGGTGTTGACAGTGTGCTAGGTTATGATGTGGTAGTTACTTCTCTTGAGGAGATGGAGACATTCAGAAAAGAAGCTACTACATAAAGCTCATGGTGGAAGAAGAAAAACGTAAAACAGATTTTAAAAAATAGCTATGAGGCCAGGCACGGTGGCTCACACCTGTAATCCTAGCACTCTAGGAGGCCGAGGCGGGCGGATTCCTTGAGGTCAGGAGTTCAAAACCAGCCTGAGCAAAGATTGCTTGAGCCCAGGAGTTTGAGGTTGTTGTGAGCTAGGCTGACGCCAAGGCACTCACTCTAGCCTGGGCAACAAAGTGAGACTCTGTCTCAATCAATCAATAAAATAAGGTGAAGTGTAGGCTGGAGACAGGTTTGCCAAAAAGTCATCTTTTCAGTTGTACTAGGTCGCCTATCTATACTATAGCCAGAAATGAGACTATCAACGGTGAAAGAGTCATTGATATTTCTGAAGGCAGGAAGACAGAGATAATCGGAACAAAAGAAAGGGGCAGTGCAGGAAGATAAGCACAACTGTTCCCGCCCAGTTGATTCATGTGAAGAAGTTGTTTAGAAACCAATTTTTCTCTTCTGGGAGAAACGGAAATCCAGAAAGCTGTGCTCTTAGAGAAGGGACATTAGGTATGATTTCTTGTGAGCCACAGCCCCTGAAGCCAACTAAGCTATGAGTCTTTCCTAATTGAAAGGTCCTCTGTTGGCGCCTCAAAGAGGGAAGATATATTTTCAAGTGACACAATGTGTCAATTGCCTTATTTGGCATATAAAAAGAAAATACCTGTATGTGCTAATAATCACTAATAATATTAAAAGCTGGGTGTGGTGGTGAGCACCTATAGTCTTAGCTACTGGGGGCGACAGGGGGTATGGGGGGCGAGGGAGCTGAAGTGTAAGGATCACTTGAGTCCAGTAGTTAGCAGCTGCCCCAAAAATCTCGCACTTGTTAATAGCCACTGCACTCCAACTTGAGCAAGGAAGAACTCTGTTTTCACAAAACCGAAGTTGTTTGGGGTTTCTTGGATGTTTTTCAGGTGCAAAAACTAGGAATTCAGCCAGAATGGCTGTAAGGAATGATAATTTGTCTTTGATCTGGATTATCCCCTGGAGAAATTAAAGAAAGTTTTTTAAGGGTCTCCCAGTTGGTAACAGCAGAGCAGAGATATATTACTGTCTTCATTTATTCAGAGATATACTCTATGCTAGGCACTGTACTAGAAGCTAGGAAATACAAGTGATCAAAATATCTCCCCCCACCCCCAAATCCAGCTCTCAAGAAGTTTACATTCTATGGGAAGGGTGGGGAGTTTAAGATAACAAGAGAATGAATAAGTAAAGCATACATGTCAGATCTTGGTACATGCTATAACAAAGAATAGAGTAGTAAACAGGGATAGGGAATGCAGATGGTGTGGCTTAATTACAAAATGGCAGTCAAGGAAGGCCTCGGTGACAAGATGAGGTCCCAATGTTAGGACCCCAGTGTCCTTCCTTACAAGGAATGGAGTCCCACCACCTCAGGAAAGCAATAACAGTTCAGCCACCCCACAGAGGTCCTAACAGGGTTCAGTTCCTGGGCAGCTCCACAGAGAAACCCACACCTGCCCTTCACCTCAAAGATGAGCCTGTGAGGAACAATGCAGTCATGTGGTTGGGGTTTCACCTCATCAGTAGCACAGGTGCACCTGCTAAGAAGTTTCAGCCACTCTACTTACTAATAGAAAGAAAGACAAGTTAATGAGAAAAGCCAAGGACAGAACTGTGTGAGGAACATGTGACCTCTTCCATTTTAATTAGAGGAGACAATGACATACCACATTTGTATATTTGTGTTTGTATAAAGAGATCTCAGACAGGCACACAGGAAACTAATAAATGTGGTTCATTGTAGTATGTCCAAGATAAGCACAGCCAGACATTGGTTAAAGTGGTGAAAACGGATTTTATTTGGCAACCTTTGACAGTAGGGAAAAGAGCCAAACTCCATTCAGATTTGTGCACAGGTGATTGGGCCTTTTGAAAGAATGAGGGAGTAGATAGGGGGGAACAGCAGGGAAGTGAAAAATTATGAAAACTGGGAAGGGTGGGGAGAGTTGGTCCATGTGAAACCCATCTGGGTGCAATTGCTAACTGCTGGGTATCTAAGTTAGGCTCCTATTCTACCACAGAGACTGGGAGACAGGGGCCCTATCTTCAGATGTTGATTGAAACAAATAGTAAATTCTTTTGGCAGCCTCAATTGAGTTTTCTCAGGAAGGCACTGGAGGGGACTAGGATCATCCTTGGGGCTGTGGGCATAAACTATTAGAAACTGTTAGTGTTTGTTCAGGTCTTTATAGGGCAAGGTTGAGGGGGGAACTAGGTGTTTAGGAGCTGTTGGAGATTGGATTATTTACTGTATTCTTTGTATGTGCAATAATTAAACCCTAGCAATGAAAGGCCTAATCGAAACCATAAAACGAAGTTTTAGCCACATTATCCGGAAGGGCCACAAGATGGCGATACAGTTTGTAAACTCTCCAGCGGCATGAAAAGAGGGGACCGCCCCGCGAGCTTGTCCGGATACCAAGGTGCCAATGGCCAGCTTTCGGAGGCCGCCTCTCTTCTTGACGTTCCCTTACTTTAGTCACCGGAATTTTTCTGCGCCGGCGCCAGATTCTCAGAGTAGCCCTTTGTTGACCAAAAGAGAAAGCGGTTCATTGATTGAGCCGGCCTTTTCTTTTTCTTTAACTTTTTCTGTGGGGGGAAAGGGAGTGGTCATGAACATAGTGAAGTACACATAAAAATACAGAGATGAGAATACTGTGCTCCCCCCCCAGGCCTCCCCACCAAGTGCCCGTCACGCATGCGTCAACATCTTGCCCGCGATGTTTCATTATCCAGCCTGAGGGACGGAATCTACAGAAATCTCAAACGCGATTCAATCATGAATATTTTCACAAACATTCTAACAGATATGGACGTAAAAAAAAAAAAGTAACATTTCACACCTAAGAAAATTTAAAATGATTTACATTATCCAATACCTTGTCCTTAAAAAAAATCCCCAATTGCCTCAAATATTTTTTTACAGTGCTTTTGTCTGAATGGAGATCCCATCAGATTCACACAAAGCACTGGACTTCTATTCCTCTTAAATCTATTTTAATCTATAAAATTTACCCAAGTCTCCAAGTAGCCATATCTGCATTTTGGAATAGGAATGAGAGACTATAATTTGGGTGGAAATTTTCATTGATCACGGATTGCGATTGCTTTTAGATCATTTATCTGAAAAGTGTTGCGATGAAAAAAAGCAATCTTTGTTTACTAAAAAGCAAAAAACAAAGCAGTACTGATATTTTCCATTCACATGTAAGTTAGAAGAGTTTCTACTTAACATCTTTGAGTTTATAATTGAAACTATTTTAATCTAAGTATCTTAGTTCCATCTACAGTAATTTTTTTCTATATCTATAGACAAAATAGTAAAAGACATCTTCCCACTTTTCTTATTTAATTTCATAATCTGAATTAGGAACCAGAGGGAAAGAGAAAAGGAAGAATGAGATGAGTCTCTTTCTATGTAAAAATAAAAACTGTCTTGCAGAAATGCAGTATTTTGAATTCTCTCTATGACTAACAGTAATCCTTATTTTTCATGTAGAAAGAAACATGTACTTTGAAACTATGACCTAGACAAGCCAATCAACCTAGGAAATTATATTAATTATATTAATAATTTTTCCCAATTCCTTTCCTACACATGCAGAGGTCCCCATCAGTATTGCCTTCTCTGTGTAGAGAAAGGCTGCATTTTTAATACTTAAAACATATATATGGGGCTGTTTAGTATGTTAACCACAGGATGACTTTTTCATTAGAAGGGTGACTTTTGCCAAGGAATTATACTTTGCCAACACTAGAACTTGATTGTTGGAGTTGGAAAATATTCAAGATTGGAGCAGAAAAACAAAAAGGAACACACTGGCTCCCCAGAGAGCAAAGGCGTGTTTGGAATTCCCGTCCTAGTCTCTAAGAAAAAACAACCAGATTTGGTGCTTTTTTTTTTTCTGGGCTTATTCTTTTATTTTCATGGTTTACTCTTAATCTTGTGTCCATGGAATTTGTCACATACCTATAATGGAAATAGGTATAACCATATTTATGTCTCTTCATATATTACATATTTGAACAAATATGCAGACCTTAGCAAATGCAGGGACATTTTGTGCCAGTTGCATGCAAATGGGATGCTTTCTGCATTTATGGTTCTTAGGTTAGCTGATACCATATCCATTACTCCAGAAAGTTCTCATTCTGGAAAACATGTAGTAATAGGTTAATTGATGGCCTTCTAAAAGGTCTTAGTTGTTTTCCTTTTACATGTAGGGACCTTTTTTTCCCCTTGTGGATGACAAATTGCTGGGATAAATTTACCAACAGCCTCTCTTTTCCTCACTAATCTGAAATTCTACTTCTCTCATTTCTAAAGTTCCAAACAAAAAATTAGATCTAATCCTTGGTAAATGTATTCAATTGAAGTTGGTAAATGTAATCAATTCTATGCAAAATCACCCAACATTATTGCTATAATAAGAGTTTTTTTTTTTAAATCACTAAATCAATGTTCTATCTCATTAGTAGTTTCTTTGATATTTTTCCATTTTGATTCAAAAAAATGTTAGAATTAATCTCCAAGTTCCAAAAGTAACCTGTTAAGGTTCTGATTAGAATTATCTTGAATAATTATGCCAATTTTAGAAAGATTGACATCTTTATGATATTGAATATTCCTTCCCATGAACTTGTATATATTTCCATTTACTATCTTTAAATATGAATCTTGAATCATTGGATTTCTTCTAGGTCTATTATATTTACTGAAGCTATTATGTGGCAGTATCATACATATTTAATAACTTTTCACATAGTATTTCTCCATCATAATGATGATAATTTTCTCATCTAACACATCTCAGCCATACAATTGAATATAAGCTCATTTTCTCTGAAGAGATAGTATGCAGTCTTAAAACAGCTCCTAATCTATATTTTTCTTCTACTTCTATTATGAGACCATCCATATATTCTGCAACTTCTAAAGTTATACAGCCAATACACTGTATGTAAAATGCTAAAAATGCTAAAAGATAGGAGGGGATGTGGGTAGGGAGGAGGTGAGTAGATTAAGTATATATATGACAAATATATACAAATATATACATATAACAAATATACATATGAAATATCAAAGGAGGAAATGTAGATAGGACAATTTTCTACAAGTCAGTTAGCTAAAAAACATTTCAACAAGTTACCAATTTCTAAAAATTGTTAAAATCTTATTTGTATATTTACAAATTTACAGTAATTTACATTAGTTAGTATAAATTGCATTTGAAGGCCGGGCACTGTGGCTCACGCCTGTAATCCTAGCTCTTGGGAGGCCGAGGCGGGCGGATTGCTCAAGGTCAGGAGTTCAAAACCAGCCTGAGCAAGAGCGAGACCCCGTCTCTACTATAAACAGAAAGAAATTAATTGGCCAACTGATATATATATATATAAAAAATTAGCCGGGCATAGTGGCGCAGCCTGTAGTCCCAGCTACCTGGGAGGCTGAGGCAGTAGGATGGCTTGAGCCCAGGAGTTTGAGGTTGCTGTGAGCTAGGCTGATGCCCCGGCCCTCCCTCTAGCCTGGGAAAAAAACTCTAAAAAAAAAAAAAAAAAAGATTGCATTTGAAGATTTCTGAGACAGTTTAGTTCACCAGCTTTCAATGCATATTTTTTATGAAAGTATTTTTAAAAAACATTCAAATTATCTGTTACAGCTCCTTACCTATCCCCATAAAGAGAGACAGACCAAGAGAGAAGGGGAAAAAAGAGGTAAAACAGACAGAAAGACGACTGGGAAAGAAAGGAGTCCAAAAACCCAACTCCTATAAGTCAAGACTTCCCACAGCTCTCTTAAGCCAGCTAATGAATATAATTAAAATTGCTTTAAACTTACTATTAATATAAAAATCATTTTTGGCAAATCAATAAACTGAGTCATCTCTGAAACCACTGGTAGAAGTATGTATTCCTCCCTTTCTAAAACAAAAAACAGCAGAGAGAGCCCTGAGACACAAATATGGAAGGCAAAATGTTTTTGAGTTGGTTGTTAAGTATAATATGAGAGGTACCACTCCATTTCTACCTCTCAGTTCTTAATCAATGCATTCTGGCTATAGGAGAAATTATGACCATTCTTAGTCACTATTCAACACATATACAACATACAAAATTGAACAGCACTCCAATACAGTGCTGAATTACTAGATGCCACTTTATAACTGATTTTAGTCTTGCAAAAATTGAGAGATTTCTACTTATGAGGGATGTGATAAACTACTGAGTTTCACGGTTGTCTATGCTTTGCTGTACTTTTTTGTATAGGAATGGATCCCAAAAAAGATGTGAGACATGAGGTATAAAGTATTCAATAAGGTCATAGATGGTCTTGCTAGCAACAGCATAAAAGAAAGTGAAGCACGTCTAAATCTAAAGTGTCAGTGCAGTGACTCACGCCTATAATCCTAGCACTCTGGGAGGCTGAGGCGGGAAGATTGCTCAAGGTCAGGAGTTCAAAACCAGCCTCAGCAAGAGCAAGACCCTGTCTCTACTATAAATAGAAAGTAATTAATTGGCCAACTAATATATATAGAAATTAGCCAGGCATGGTGGTGCATGCCTGTAGTCCCTGCTACTCGGGAGGCTGAGGCAGCAGGATTGCTTGAGCCCAAGAGTTTGAGGTTGCTGTGAGCTAGGCTGACGCCACAGCATTCTAGCCTGGGCAACAGAGTGAGACTCTGTCTCAAAAATAAATAAATAAATAAATCTAAAGTGTCTATCCCAATGAAGACAAGTCCCTGCCTCATTCATGACAAAATGTTTGCAAAAATACGAGAATTCTTCCCCTGACATATGAGACACTTAGCAGTGTCAGTATACAGGGTCAGCCTGGCTGAGCTAAGTCTATACTACAGCTCTGGAGTATAATCTCTACCATTGCCATCCTGGCCACCTTTACAAATTGCTTGAGCAGTACACTGGATAGGAAAAAAGACTATGTGACATTCATATGGTTGAGGTTGTATACTTGATTATTAACAGCCTCTCCTCTGAGAGTGGGACTTTAGGTTAAAATTCACATGGGACAACATTATTCTTATACTCTGGGACCATTCTGGGAAATTCATCCACATCACACTCTTCCCCAAACATGTCAACAAAACCTCCACTTTTGACAACTTAAAATCCTTGTCCATAGACAAATCATTAGTCGTGCACATCAATCAGTTTAGATCAGTATCTTTATTGTCTTTCCAGAAAAAGTAAATGAGATACAATTCTCCAAATTCTGCCCAGTGGCAGCAATTTTCTTTCCTATCGTCATTCATGGACACTCCCGAGTGGGGCAACATTATTACTGCTTTAATACTACTGTTACTATTGGTGTCAGTAGTATTAAGTCATGAGAGGCATTATTACATCCCCATTTTTGAAATGAGGAAAAGAGCCTCAGAAAATAATTTGGCAATGCTTCATAGTAAGTGGCAGGGCCATATTTCAAACCTAGATGGTCTTTTTCAATAACTTATATAAAACTCATATTATTAAGAAATTAAAAGCACAACTATATTTCCTAAGTAAAAATATTTGGAATGGAATCACTCACTTGCTCTAGCTTATTTTCTTACTTTAGTACTTGGCTCAGGCTGGGTCTTGCGTATCACTTCTACATGATGATCAAATGCTGAAGTGTAACTTCATAGTTTTGTAGATGTAATAGTATGCAAGTAATAGTGGGAAGCACACACATTCATCTGGTTTCCCAATGTCAAGTGCATACTGCAGTTTCCTTAGTAAATGAATACAGATACGTTTGCAAAGACAAATACTAATAAAAAAAGTTCTGCAGGAATCCATATTTTTTTTAAATAAAATTCAAAAATTCTACTCTACTTTTCATGTGTAGAATGCAAACAATGCCTTTATGTATTGTGGACTCTAAACAGGGTTGCATATTCAACATTTGGGACAATATCAGGAAGAGTGATACTCCAAAATTAAAGCATGAAATAAGTCATTCGAATCAATGGATAGTTTGTAAGTATATTATGTTTTCCATATGTCATCAAAAATTGAAAATAAAGTTAAGAAAAATTTATATTATAAAACTAACTTTAACATATAAACACAATGCTTTAATTGAAGAATAGATATCTACATGATATCAGGATATAGGACCTTTGTGGCTGTATCTGTATCTGCCCAGAGGAATGGGTACCTTGATTTCAATAACTATTGTAGATTAGTTTAAAAAGAAATATGTGCACAGTAGAAAAAAATAAATATAATCATTTGATATGGCTTGGAAAAAAAAATCTTTTAAAAACAACTAGTTCTATTTCATCTAAGGCTATGCTCCACTCATCATTCTTGTTTGTGATCTCTGGGGAAGCGCTGCCAATTAGTTACAAGCATTTTAAGCAATAAGTATCTATTTATTTTGTTAGAGGATATATATCACAATGTACACTCTTTTAAATAGCAAAATGATAGTTTAGTTCTGAACCAATTCTTCTGTAACTGATTAGCAATGGGTTAATTGGTAGCATTTAGTTTTTCAAGCAAAGAATTAAACTCTCACCCTTATTCCTAAGGGAACTTTACCAAGATGCAAATAACCCAAAAGATGACTGTTCAGTTTATTTATCTCTTAGGCAATCTAGTTTTGAGTTACAGAATTAGTTGGTTCTGTATAGTTTTAAAAAATTTAGTCTTTGCAAATTTTCACCTGTGGCTAGACAATATTGTCCATGAGTCATCTTCTGTCCCAATTCCTGTCCTTTTCCCACAAATTCTGCTCTTTATTCTGATTCCTGTATCATATAAGACAGAACCAACAACAAAACGTATTTTCCTTGGAAATTATCATCTGATTATTTGGATTAACAGAGGATCAGAGGATCATGTGACACAACAAGTAATGACATAAAAGTCATTTAAGTTCTGTTTATTCACAGGACTCAGTTATCATTAGTGTGGGATGATGATAACAAAGAAAAAGAATTTGCTTTCTTTTTTCCTTTCCCTCTTTCCATGTCATGAGTGTACATTCTCTACTTAGAAATACATGCAACAAACCCGGTAGAGAACAATTCAACTATATATATACATATGCAATTCAGCTATGATATATGCAAGATACTTTATGGCGTTTCCAAAGGCTGGATAAGCGGTAAAGAAAAAGCTCAAAGAAGGGAAGAAATTTCAGAGAACAGGTAAACGTGAATGGGCTTTGAAAAATGGGTAGGACTTGAGTCAAGGACGAAGAAAAGTATATTTGACAGTAGACTTAACAAAATACTAATTGCTTTAGACATTATTGTGGTTAAATTTAGATCCATTCTAGATAAATTAAAGTTTATGTAGAATTACTACCTTTCAAACAAAAACCAATCATAGTGGAAGCTTCCAAATACTTCATAAACCTTGCATTTTTATCTCAGAGACACACAATTTTGTATAGTCATAACCTAAAGAAACATCGTCATTTGTTGGGTGACTGGTTCTCATTTGTGGCAACCTGAATGACGCGGACTTGTATTTCCTTACTGATTTCCAAGCAAAGTCAAAAACAGTATTTAAAATAACAGCGAAAGGAGCTTTAAAAGTGAAACTGATTTTGCTAAATATTAAGTTTCCTGCCTTCATTACATACTTAGTCCGGCTTAAATTTTGTAAACTTTCGATTATGCGGATATACGCTAAAGGGAAAACAGCATCCCAATTTTAAAAAAGCATTGATTTCCCCGAATTAAAATTACATTTCTTTAATACTTTTAAGAGACACCGAAAATTTAAACAGTTGGTTTGTGTACAGGGTCCGCGCAGCAGCTAGACCTGGATTCCAGCTGCGCGCACAAACCGCCATGACTGCTGGGACACCGCCAGCCACTCGGGATGCCGACACCGAGGGCGGGCGGTGCCCGGGCGAATTCAAACTGCCCGCGCAACCTCTGCAACCGGACACTGGTCCAATTCATTACCCAACAGGGGACCGGAGTAGTTAAACTTGCTCAGACCTTGATTCTCTTCCAACTCGTTATTTATCCTAACGGTCATCAGAACTGGTGGCTGACGACTTTTAAGTTGAGTTCCTAGTAACGAAAAACTCGGGTCTAAAGTTATATTCCACAGAGTCCCAGGGGATAACTTAACTTTTAGAGGTTAGCAGGGTTTACCTTGGCAGGGAAGACCTGGGTCCATTACTCAACAATTGTGTTACTTCAGAATAAAAAGCCTCGGTAAGAGTCGTGGCAAAGAACATAAGCGTCAGCTCTCTCTCTGAGAATGTGGGTGGCTCTTAAAAGAGCCGTTAGGGTAGAGAGTTTATAATCAACTCACTGTTTACTTGGCACTGGTGTACTTGGTGACGGCCTTGGTGCCCTCGGACACGGCGTGCTTGGCCAGCTCTCCCGGCAGCAGCAGGCGCACCGCCGTCTGGATCTCCCTGGAGGTGATGGTCGAGCGCTTGTTGTAATGCGCCAGGCGAGAGGCCTCGCCCGCGATGCGCTCGAAGATGTCGTTGACGAACGAGTTCATGATGCCCATGGCCTTCGAGGAGATGCCGGTGTCGGGGTGGACCTGCTTCAGCACCTTGTACACGTACACGGAGTAGCTCTCCTTGCGGCTGCGCTTGCGTTTCTTCCCGTCCTTCTTTTGGGCTTTAGTAACGGCCTTCTTGGAGCCCTTCTTAGGAGCGGGAGCTGACTTCGCTGGCTCAGGCATCGTGAAAGAAAACACCGAAGTTAAAACAGAGACAAAAATAGCGAAACGAAAGTGCGGCGAGTCGTTCTTATATAGAACGTCTTATGCAAATAAGGTGTAGAGTTAAAGTCCTGTGTCTGATTGGTGGTAATGTATGGCAACGTCAGAGGTTAGTTTTGCCCAATCAGGAGCTGCAAATCTCGAAGTCGCATTCCCATTGGTTAAAATGAAGCTGCACTCTTGACCTATGACACGTCTTCTTTTTCGCGCCCAATATTGGTTATAAAAAGTGCTTCCCTTACGCTTTCGCTTTACTTGCCACCAGGAGTTTACTGGAGCCACTATGTCTGGACGCGGCAAGCAGGGAGGCAAAGCTCGCGCCAAAGCCAAGACCCGCTCTTCCCGGGCCGGCCTTCAGTTCCCCGTGGGCCGAGTGCACCGTCTGCTCCGCAAGGGCAACTATGCCGAGCGGGTCGGAGCCGGCGCCCCGGTGTACCTGGCGGCGGTGCTGGAGTATCTGACCGCCGAGATCCTGGAGCTGGCGGGCAACGCGGCTCGCGACAACAAGAAGACGCGCATCATCCCGCGCCACCTGCAGCTGGCCATCCGCAACGACGAGGAGCTCAACAAGCTGCTGGGCAAAGTCACCATCGCTCAGGGCGGCGTCCTGCCCAACATCCAGGCCGTGCTGCTGCCCAAGAAGACCGAGAGTCACCACAAAGCCAAGGGCAAGTAACAACTCGGATGAGTTTGCAGCAGCTCGAATAAAAACCAGCAGTCGAGTCTAAACCAAAGGCTCTTTTCAGAGCCACCCATATTTTCTTGAAAAAGAACTTAACATTTATTCTCCAGTGACGAAAAGCGAAGCACAGGAAAAATGTAGTCAGTAAACCTGTCTGACCCTCGTTGAAAAGCAAAATAGCAGCGAACGCCCCATATTTACAAAGATGAAACTTTAGTTCGCAAGATTTTACATTTTATAAGTTTGCGAGCAGACTTGCTAAACCACTATGTGTCCGCAGGCAGCCATTAACACCATCACTTCTTGCAACAGTTTGGTAAAAAATTAACTGCCCTGTCTTTAGCAGATCGGTCCTTGCAGGCCACTGGAGGCTTGAGGAAGCCCCGCCATTACTGACCCGGGACATGGCTCTGTGCGAGATCTGCAGCTACCATCTACCGTAAGTCCACAGAGCTGATTATCAAGGTGTTGCTCAAGAACTTGGCTGTGGCGCCGGTGCAGGAAGTGCGAGGCCTAAGGAGTTTTGTAGCAAACTGTCAAGAGTCACACAAAGTTCTCCTGACAGAAACGCTATGAAGCATAGCCTTACCCAGCCAGCCCTATGTTGCAAAATATGCCTTTAAATTGAAGTGAGTAAAATATTAGGATGATGTCTGGAGATGTGAAAGCCCAAGAAAAGTTTCTCATATTCTGAAAACGCTTAAAATCTCAAGTGCAGTGGCCTCAAGAACTTGACAGGATGGTTATTTCTAAAACCAAATCGAAAGTTTGAGGAAATGTTTTCCATAATTATTGCTAATCATACAACTTTGTGTGGGGAAAGGAAAATAAAAGAGGATTATGATGTGGTTTGACAAAGGGCTGTCTGTGAGTATTACCAAAACTCAAAGGTTTTGGGGGCTCCTGACAGAAACCCAGGCCTCCTCGCAAGGTTGACAGTTACCGGTGAAGGAGGGTTATTTAATGTGAAATTGGAAGAACTTTTGGTGATGGTGTAAGCAAATAAGGACTACCATGCCCATTGTTTTCCTTGCCTAGGTTGCAGAATCTGCCCTCCTACCTCTGTTCACTGAATCTCTGATGTAATCTCTAAAAAACAAAAACAAACACAACAACAACAAAAGTCGTTCTTAGCTTTTTGTCTTGTATGTTGTGAACACCTTTGGCTTTCTGGTGACATTTAAGGAAATCTCAGAACAATGTTTTAAGTGTATAAAATGCAAAAAAAAATTAAGTGATTTCATCACTCTATTAAATAGTAAACATATTACATAACCAGCATTTGTAATGAGAAAAGAGACAACTGGAATTTCTTTTGAGTAACAAGTACTGAGGTTTGTAGCCTAAGTTCATAATAAAGTGAAATGCTAAAGTTTAATAAAAATATATATATTTTACTACACAAACTCACAGACTTCCCCCTCATCCCACCACCACCAAACTGCTGAATTTATCCTTAGGAGCATTGTGACATTATGATGGACCTCTGGTTAAAAACCCTTGCTCTAAAAATTTGGTAGACCTACTCTATTCATTCCTTTTCAGCTTAATTATAAGTTTTCCCTGAAACCTCTTATTCCTATCTGGAATTTTTTTAGCTCTTAATTTATTGACATCACATATAAACATTCACACTCTTATTGTTTTTATTTCTTGTACTTATAACTACTTCCAATTCTTATATAAATATTATTTTTTGGAATAAAAATGTGCTGACAACAATGTTGTCAAAGATAGGCACTCAAATGCTCCCCCCAAAATAGTAAAATATGACGTTTGATAGGATTTTTAGAATATGTGTAACTCAAATTATTATTTTATTCAATTTATTATTTTAATTATTTCATTTTATTTATTATTCAATTGTTCTGTCTTTAAATTTAAATTAATTTATTGTCTTCCAATTTAAATTAATTTATTAATTTTATAATAGACAATGCTTAGGTATAGGATACATTTTGCAAGTGTGACTAACAAAATTTGATGCTAGATTTGTTGTGCAGTGTGAAAGAATGTGAGAATGCAAGGAAATATACCCTGATTTGAACTAAATTTATCTTGAGAGTCAGTTACCATATTAGAAAAGAGCCTGATTAACATCACATTTTTTAAATGATACACAATGTGTATGTTTACAGAAAATTAAACACCTCTGGCTACCAATTTCAGAAACTAAAGAGCCTGATAAACTTTTCAGATAGCCACTGTAGAGAAGACAACATTTTACCTCTATCCTTTTCTGGGTAGGTATGAGAATTAAACTGACATAAAAAAGATTAACAGGAAAAAAGCATATAAATTTATTTAATATACATTTTATGTAACATGCAAGCTCTCATAAGGAAATAAAGACCCAAAGAAGTGGCAAAACTTAAACGCTTTTATACTACGATGAACATAGTTTGTTACTTTCCCCCAATTTACTATGTGGGGAGGCCAAAGGAAGATAATTTTTTTTTTTTTTTTTTTTGAGACAGAGTCCCGCTTTGTTGCCCAGGCTAGAGTGAGTGCCGTGGCGTCAGCCTAGCTCACAGCAACCTCAAACTCCTGGCTCAAGCAATCCTCCTGCCTCAGCCTCCCAAGTAGCTGGGACTACAGGCATTCGCCACCATGCCCGGCTAATTTTTTGTATATATTAGTTGGCCAATTAATTTCTTTCTATTTATAGTAGAGACGGGGTCTCGCTCTTGCTCAGGCTGGTTTCGAACTCCTGACCTCGAGCAATCCGCCTGCCTTGGCCTCCCAGAGAGCTAGGATTACAGGCGTGAGCCACCGCGCCCAGCCGGAAGATAATTATTTTAACGAGGTCCATTTGCACAGAATTCTCTTGGTTTTCACTTAATGTGATAAGGAGGATGTTCTTTTGGTATACGGAGGACATCTTACAGATGGAGGTTTTATCTCCTATTTTCAGGAAGGGAAAGGCCAGAGTGCCTTTCTTGTACCTTTTTTTTTTTTTTTAGTTGATTATAGCTCAAAATCATCCTTAAACCAAAGTAGCCTATTTGGGGGTAGCATATTTTGCCACCCTCTACCATCCATTGCTATCCTTATTATCACTAACTGCTATGCAAAACCTCATGAAATCAGATAGGGAGGGAGGATTCTGATTCGTGGGAATTTTACTCATTTTTAAAGTAGAGAAAGATCTTTAAAATATATTTCATATAACTAATGTTGGGGAAATATAATTAAAAACAAAATCTCCCAAAGAAGAGAAAGAAAACAATTAACTGAGTAAATATTAAACTAGAGTGTATTTTGATCAAAGTCCTAAAATAATTCCTTTCTTGTACCTTAATAAAATGATTTGTAGCCAAGTGTGGTGGCTCATGCTGTAATTCCAGCCCTTTGGAAGGCTGAGGCTGGAGGATTACGTGAGGCCAGAAGTTCAAGATCAGCCTGGGTAACATAGCAAGACATTGTTTCTACAAAAGTGAGCTATGATTATGCCACTGCATTCCAACCAGGCAATAGAAAAAGAATAGAAAAAGACTCTGTCTCTTAAAAAAATTTTTTTTACAAAGATGATTTGTAATTTCAAGAAGAATGGTGATAATAGAAAATTTTTGGAAAATTAAGTATGAGGTAGTAATTACACTATCAAATAATAAAATAGTCTTCAAAGTGCAAAGTACAGAGCAAGGTCTCTAGCCCCCTAAACGTTCACTGAAAAATCACTGACATGAGACAGATTGATAATTAGGAGGAAAGACATACAAATTTATTTAGCATGTATACATGGGAGCCTTTAGAATGAAGGCCCAAAGATGTAGGGGAAATTTTCCCTTTTCATCGGTGGGATCATCAAGGTATGGACAGCTACATAGAAATATGACTGGACAAAAAAGATATGATTTAATGCTAATGGATTGAGTGGGGAAAGCCAGCAAGGTCCATCTGTCTAGATTCCTCTTGGTTTCTTTGAGCATGAATTTGAAACCGCCCTTACAAATTAATAAAAAGGGGTGCAAGGCAAGAACTGCGGTAAAGGCCTCGATAAATATATTAGTCACTACTCTCATTTGCATCTCTTTAATTGCCACTCCAGAGCTACGCAGCTGGTGCTCATAAGGATTTATAAAGATTCTTAAAGTCTCCCTATAGCTGGTGTCCATAAAGATTCTTAACTTTCTCCGTAGATAACATCACCTTTTTGAAACCTAAAAGGTAGTTTTTAAGATATCTTCCAGACCCCCCCATTCCAGTGGATTGGTTGACCCACTCAGACCAGGGGCCCATATCAAGAAACCTACTCAACTGGAATTGTAACCCCAGGGACTGGAGCAACACAAGATTTCTACACCCCTATAATTTGCCACAATTAACAAACCTAATTGCCTAATCTTTTGTCTGCCAAACTATCCATAAAAATCGTCTCCCCAAATTCTCCAGGAGGTGGATTTGAGAAATTTCTCCCTACTCCCTGCTTAGTGCTATGCAGAATTTTTAAACTCTCCATTACAACCTCAACTGTCCCAGTACATTGGCTCTTCTCTATGCAGCGCGCAAATGAACCTTGTTGGGCAGAAACACATTTCTTCCTTCTGGGTATGGGGCAGGGCCCTCTCTGGAATGGGGGTCTTAATATCTAAAGACAAACAAGGTTGGTCAGATAATTTCTTTATGGCCAGCTTTTACACAGAATAATTTTAGGTTATATGGCTGGCTTTTGGGGGAAAAGGGGTTCTGGCTTTTATGACCTGCCTTGGGGAAGAGCAGTTCTAATTTCTGTGGATCGTCTCAGGGAAGAACAGGACTGAGAGTCATGGAGGACAAAGAAAAATTTGCCTTTGAGGCCTTCATTTTGGAGTACTGTTTTCTGAGCCTCATCACAAATAATTATAATACTTTGGCAATATATATAGACTGGTGGAACAACAGAAACTAAAAAAATATTTAGTATATAATAAAGTTCCTCAAGTCAGTGGGGGAAATATTTAGTACAGTATATTGTATTGATTAACAATCTAGTTAACTTTTTTAGAAATTAATTCTCTATACAAGAAATCAAATCTATATTATTACACAGTAAAATTATGCAAAATGGTTCTACCCAGTATTAGGTTGTTGGCATAACAGGAACTGCTAGTGGTGTAGAGGTCAAAGGAAAACTTCCTTTTAGCCCTCAGGTTCACTCACCAATCAACTGACAAAAAGCAAACAGGAGAAAGGCATACAAATTTATTAAGGTATGGGGACAGGCATCACTGATTACCCAACCCCCCAATGGGGTACAGAAGCTGGTCTACCCTTTTTCAGAGAGAAAGGAGGAGACAGTTAATGTAGACAATTCTTTTGAGAAGCAGTAAATGATTATTAGGGACAAGGAATGGGCCAGGGAGACACAAATTAACTTACAAACGATTCTCTTTGGAATTTGAATAAACCCCAGAGGCAGGCAAGCAGGTATTATCTAATGCAAAAGTCCATCCAGGTGGAGTGGCATTCTTCTTTCTTCTTTTCCACCATAGACCTTGAGGTAAACCGAGAGGGGATAGAAGGCAACTGTGGGTTTTTTTTGGTAGGAAGCTTTCTTGATCAGATCAGGAAATTCCAGAGGAAGTCCCCCCCTGTGCTTGGGGAAGAGAAGAGAAACAAGACAAGGTTAGAAGGAACTTTAATCTGAAGCCTATGTCTTGAGGCCCCTTAAATTTGAAAAGCATTCAGCATGTCCAAGAGCCATATTTTGGGGAATCATTCTGCACTCCAACATTGGAAATGAAAATATTAATATTTATAACCTTTGATGGAAGAGGATTTAACATACCTGAAAGATCTTAAAATTCTGTATTAGTCCATCTTCTTCTGTTTCTAGGAATTTAGCATACTGAGCATATTTCCACCACATATTAAGGAGAAAAATGTCACAAAATAGCATAATCTTATGCTGGTAGTGTTAGATAAAGAAAATACATATATACACATAGATATTCAAACCATATTTTATTCTTTTGCTTTTTCTGTATCTTCTATAAATAAAAATTAAAATTTTTCTATTTAATGAAGATAGGTAGGAAACACATTAAATGAAAAAAGGAGAAAAAATATCCTAGGTCTTGTAGATTAAAAAGAACTGAAAGAGAAAAAAAGCGACCAAAGTGCGGCAGGCTTGTTTCCCTTTTAGGGCCCCTCCCCCAACCCAGAGGACCTTCCCGCCACAGCTCTCTCGGTTTTCAGTCAGGTCCGCAAACATTATCTATAAAAGGAAGCTGCCAAAAAAAACCCTCCATTTTTGCTCTCTGCCTGCTTGACTATGTCTGGACGTGGCAAGGGAGGTAAGGGCTTGGGAAAAGGAGGTGCCAAGCGCCACCGGAAGGTTCTGCGGGACAACATCCAGGGCATCACAAAGCCTGCCATCCGGCGCCTGGCCCGCCGTGGCGGAGTCAAGCGCATTTCCGGCCTCATTTATGAAGAAACCCGTGGCGTGCTCAAGGTGTTCCTGGAGAACGTGATCCGGGACGCCGTCACCTACACGGAGCACGCAAAGCGCAAGACGGTCACGGCTATGGACGTGGTCTACGCGCTTAAACGGCAGGGCCGAACCCTGTATGGCTTCGGTGGCTAAATAGCATTTTGTAGCCATATTTTCTAAAAAGCCCTTTTTAGGGCCCCCAATCTTTCAGCAAAAGAGTTGTAATGACTACAAGTCAGGTCTTAGAACCGTTATCACTGGATTTCTCCATGCTACTTGCTAAGTTAAATGGGAGTGTTGAAAACCAGCAGGCGACCGTGGACCGAGATTTTCCGAGGCTGGGATGAAGTCTCCGATAGCTAGTCGCTTACGGCAGCAGATTGAAATTATGGTAGGGTTGATCAGCGAGTAAAGTCCATGAAGCCAAGGATCTAAATAGGTTTTTGCTGGACACTTAACCTTACCCTGTTCCTTTGACTTACACGATGTCTCACAGTGAGAGGTCTTGGGAAGAACTGCCTTATGTTCCACAAAGGGGAGGAGTCTCGAGAGTAGCTGTAGTCACTGGTTTTAAGTAGAAATTGTCCCTGAGATCTCTACTGGGAGTCTTGGAGAAAATGTATCTTCTCCCTATCTTCTCACTACAGTGGAACACAGTTGTGGGTTACCTGTGGTCTTGGGGCCATATTGTGGCCTTCTGGATCTTTGAGTGGCCTTTTGACTGAATCCAGTTTTTACAGACTAAATCCTTAAAACGGATGCAGAAGAAAAAAGATGAAGCTTTTCTTGTCTCCTTTGGTGCTTAAAAAAGAACAATCTTGAAATCAAAAGGCTGCAGGTTCCCCACCTATCGTTGGTATACATTTAACTTCTTTACTATGTTTGCCTTCTGGTAGTATTTTTAAGTGCTGAAAATGTACCAGGTATTTCCACAAAAGACTAGGTGAACATCATACTCATTTAACCAATACAGTAAAATGTCTTAGTATGTCCATTCTGAGTAGCATAAGCTTCCTTTTTCCCTACTGAGAGTTAACTAGTATTCTGAATTTGGTGTTTATTGCTCCCATGCTTTTGGATGCACATACCCCTAATCAATGTATGTATCACTTTACACGTTTTAAAAACTTTCTACATTTGGTTTGAAAATATAGCCCTGTTGGAATGTGCAGTTCTAATTTCTATCATTAATAAAGTTTTCTAATGTGTCAATACAAAATATACATTCATTTCTCTATTGGTAGATATTTAAATTGTTTTATTTTCCCCCCTTTACAGGGCTGCAATGGGCATTGCTATGCATAGCTGTACCCTCTATAGTTACATTATTAGGAGTGGAATTGCTTAATAACCAAATGCTTGCTAATATGTGCATATTCAACACGAATAGAGGTAAACAATTTGCTTTCTAGGGTAGTATTTTTTAGTTTACACTGTCACACTCCACCAGTAGTGCTTGAGAGTTTTTGTTATTCCATATCTTCATCAGCATCTGCTGATGTCCGTAAAAAATTTTGAGAGTATAAAGATTTGTTAAATGGTATCTCATTAAGTTGCATTTTTCTAATTATAATAAAAATGCATATTTTTAATGGGATTTTTGTCTATTTGAAGATTTCCCTCTCTTCTGGAAATGTTCTGTTGAGATTCTTTGGCCATTTTTCTTATTTTCTACGATTTTTATGATTTGTATTTTTTATATATTTTACTTTTAATAACCCTTTGTCAGCATGTGGCAAATTTATTGTCACCTTGTGGATTTGTTTTTAAATGTGGTATCTTTGGATGTATAAAAACAATTTTAATAATGTTAGACATATTTTCATAGTTTTTGAATGCTGCCTTTTCATATAGGAGTTATCCTTCCCTTCCCCACCCCCAACTTCCCCCAGAGAACTACAGGATCAATCTGCAAGACAATTGAGGCTGCTTATCTCATGATTTGGATAGTAAAGCTTTTCTGAAACAGCTGTAAGGCAAAACTCCTTCACCCTCTGAAGGATCACTGAAAAATACTCATAATAAAGCAGATTAGTAAGAGGAAGCTTGTTTATTCTAAAGTATATTCACTGGGAACCACAGAAAATGAGGATTCAAGGCCCCAGTGGGGTTCAGAAATTTAGGCACTTTCTGGTAAAATGGGTTACAGGAGAGGGGGAAGGAGGAGTTCTGTTGAGAAGCAATAAAGGACCACAGGAAAGGATAAATGGATGGGATTAACTGGTAAATAGTTCTCTTTGAAATCTGAATGAATCTGAGAGATAGACATTATCTTGTAAAAGAGCCTGTTCAGGTGTGGTTACATTTTTGTTCTTCTTTTCGGCCATACTTAATAAGATTACAGGGAGGGGAAGAAAACAATTGTTCTCCTTGGTGGGTCTGGATCTCAATAAAGTTTCTCAATAAAGAAACTTCAACGATTTGGGGAGAGTAGGTGGTGGTGGGGAGGGGTGGGGGGAAAGTCTGAGATATCTTAAGGCTTCAGTCAGTCCAAAATGTCAAAATGCAAAAAATAATAAAATTTTAAAAATGTCAAAATGCCATACTGTGGGGTAAAAATATTTCTAATTTCCTTCAGTAGCATACAATAAATAGCTCCAGGGTAAAAATCAAAAAAGAGGAGTCAGGTATACCTGAAGGTAGTAGTCATCATCCAAGTGGTGTATTCTAGACAAACTACCAAAAGTCTTGTGTAGCTGGAGCCTAGAATACTTATTGGAGAAAACACGCTAATAATAAATAATGTATGTTGTTTTTCTTAAACTTTTTTTTTTTTCCCAAAGAAATCTAAATAGGCAGAGGCACTATACTGGTACAATTTACTCCTGTCAGCTACGTGAGATCAGCCTAGGGATTATGCTTATTTTTGCTATGAATATTTTGTTATGAAAATGAGGTCAGGAGCAGATGGGGAAGTGAAGAAGGTCCTGCTTGGGAAACCACTACAAAAAGTTCAAATTACACTATCCTCTACCTTTACATCAGACTTATTCCCTTCTCCTTTGCTCTCTTCTCTTCGAAAATTAAATATTAAAGTAGTACTTTGTACTTTACTTTTCACATTTGAAAATGTGTATAATACCTACCTCATAGATATATGTGAAGACTCAACGAGTGTATAGATCAGTGCCCTGCACACTGATAAAACACTAAAAATCACTTGACGTATTTCTTAGAATACTAATGTAATCCATAAACCACTAGTAGGATAAGATTTAGAACACTAATCATATGTTTTGCATATGTGAATTGCTCCAGTTTGACCCTTACAATCTCCAAATACACTTCTAAGAAGGGCAGGCAATTCTTTACATATGTTCACTTACTGTTTCCTTAAAGACTAACAGTCCGTGACCAAAAAATACATATATGTATACATATGCATTTATATACGTAAAGTCGTTTATATTGAGTTAATCAGAAGAAATAATTTTCCTGTAGGTCAATTGGCCTACATCTCTAAATCACAAATTTAGCCAGTCCACAACCTAAATTTTGTCGACCCTTCCTTTCAGCCTCCATTATTCTTAGTAAAAAAAAGTCTCATGCTACTTATTACTAGGATAAATAGCCATTCAAGCCTCCAGTCACACAACAAAACTCCCCAACCTGACAGGGCTCAGACTGAGCCCGGCCCGGGGCAGTTTCCTCCCTACTCTCCCCCACTTCCGGGTGGTCTAGTCCTGTTCTCAGTCTGTTGTCTGCACTGAATTCCAGTCAAGTTTTTCCTCCCAATGTCCTGTAAGTTTTCTTGTACGTGCCGAGTGAAGAAATTATTGAATCAGCAAAGATTGAAAATGCTGTCTTAAAAACTAATATGCAGGTCACATAAAACCTTTTCACTGAACCCTCATGTTTTCTTTCTTTACTCATGTGAAAAGCCATGCTTCTCATCGCCCTCTTAAAGAGACTTTATCCTGCCTAGTTGTCCGACATCTCCACCCCAAGTGAGCAGGAGAGGTAGGAATAGAAAAGAAAAAAACGCAAACCGGGTGACTCTGTTCCCCTAATTTTAGAATTTTTACAGCGTACAGCCTTGAAGAGCCTAAGGTAAGTGCTGAGCTAAATGTGGGCTTCAGATTACCGAAGCCCACATTTGCTTATCTGTCCAGTGGTGTAGAAAGGAAGACACGACACAATAGTCGGTTAGGATCTAAACAGGAAGCCACAACACTTAACACAGCCTAAGGATCTCCCTTAGAGCCGAGAACCAGGAAGCATTTTGTCTAAGGGACGTACATAGGACACTTAACTACGTTGCCTGGCTTCCTTTTAGCCAGACTGTAACAAGGATTATACTCCTTAGAAGCCACTATAGTGACTATAGACTACCCAAGCTTAAATTCAGACTTTAGGCAAAGTATTTGCAGCTCTAATTACTGACAATGTAGGTGGCTCTTAAAAGAGCCTTTGGGATCGAACTTTAAGACGCTTACTTGAGAAGTTTACTTGGCGCTGGTGTACTTGGTGACGGCCTTAGTACCCTCTGAAACAGCGTGCTTGGCCAGCTCTCCCGGCAGCAGCAGGCGCACCGCCGTCTGGATCTCCCTGGAGGTGATGGTCGAGCGCTTGTTGTAATGCGCCAGGCGAGAGGCCTCGCCCGCGATGCGCTCGAAGATGTCGTTGACGAACGAGTTCATGATGCCCATGGCCTTCGAGGAGATGCCGGTGTCGGGGTGGACCTGCTTCAGCACCTTGTACACGTACACGGAGTAGCTCTCCTTGCGGCTGCGCTTGCGTTTCTTCCCGTCCTTCTTTTGGGCTTTAGTAACGGCCTTCTTGGAGCCCTTCTTAGGAGCGGGAGCTGACTTCGCTGGCTCAGGCATCGTGAAAGAAAACACCGAAGTTAAAACAGAGACAAAAATAGCGAAACGAAAGTGCGGCGAGTCGTTCTTATATAGAACGTCTTATGCAAATAAGGTGTAGAGTTAAAGTCCTGTGTCTGATTGGTGGTAATGTATGGCAACGTCAGAGGTTAGTTTTGCCCAATCAGGAGCTGCAAATCTCGAAGTCGCATTCCCATTGGTTAAAATGAAGCTGCACTCTTGACCTATGACACGTCTTCTTTTTCGCGCCCAATATTGGTTATAAAAAGTGCTTCCCTTACGCTTTCGCTTTACTTGCCACCAGGAGTTTACTGGAGCCACTATGTCTGGACGCGGCAAGCAGGGAGGCAAAGCTCGCGCCAAGGCCAAGACCCGCTCTTCCCGGGCCGGCCTTCAGTTCCCCGTGGGTCGAGTGCACCGTCTGCTCCGCAAGGGCAACTATGCCGAGCGGGTCGGAGCCGGCGCCCCGGTGTACCTGGCGGCGGTGCTGGAGTACCTGACCGCCGAGATCCTGGAGCTGGCGGGCAACGCGGCTCGCGACAACAAGAAGACGCGCATCATCCCGCGCCACCTGCAGCTGGCCATCCATCCCGCAACGACGAGGAGCTCAACAAGCTGCTGGGCAAAGTCACCATCGCTTCAGGCGCGTCCTGCCCAACATCCAGGCCGTGCTGCTGCCCAAGAAGACCGAGAGCCACCACAAAGCCAAGTGAGGAGCGAGGTTAGGAAAACCGAAAACAAAGGCTCTTTTCAGAGCCACTAAATATCTTAGAAGAAGCTGAACACACCTTCTGTTATAACGATTTTGACTGTCACATTGTAAAATGTTCCTTCTCAAGGCGAGGGAAGTGAAGCAATTCTTAAGTGTACATAAATGGGTCTACTAGAAGGCAGTAGGGCTGACAGGGTTAGTATGTTGAGGCTTAGTAGGAATAACAGGTGAAGTTAACCGCCAATCTGTGAACCTGCTTTTTAGTTCTTGCCTAATAATGTTAGTAACCGATGCAATAGACCGATGATCCTTCAAAAGCAACTTTGGCGCTTTTGGGTACTACACTGGTCGAGTCACAGGAATAAACCAGAGTCACAGGTGGGCGGCGCGGTGGCTCACGCCTGTAATTTAACACTGGGATGCGAGGCGGACGGATTGCTCCAGGTCAGGAGTTAAACCAGCCCGAGCGAGACCCGTTCTACTATAAATAGAAACAAATTAATTGGCCAACTATATATCATAGGGGAAATTAGCCGGGCATGGTGGCGGTGCCTGTAGTCCTAGCTACTCGGGAGGCTGAGGCAGGAGGATCACTTGAGCCCAGGAGTTTGGGGTGCTGTGAGCTAGGCTGATACCATGACACTCACTCTAGCCTGGGCAACAAGGCGAGACTGTCTCAAAAAGAGTCACAGGTGATGGAATTCTTAAAATACTCTAGTAACCATTCCGTTCCTTAGGATTGGTTTCTAATAGCAGTTACGAGAATTTGATTTGTTGTTAAATTGGTTAAAAATATGCAGAACTTCTTGGATCTCGTTAAATCTTGCCTATTTATTTGAAACACATGATATCACTTAATGCACTCTTCCAGTACTTAGGATACAACAGTGAATTCACCTAGAAAATCTACCACCACGTAAGTTACTTCTAGATTGGAAAACAAGCATGTAAACGTGTATATTGATATATACCTATTAGAAATATGTCAAGTAATATATATGTAATATGTCAAGTAATAATATAGTCCTATGAGCAAAATATA